AGCATGAAACTAGGCTTTATAATGCACATGTTTTAGCTAACAGAAACCCTTCTGAGATGTGAAATCAATTTCACCATTGCATTGACTTACAAGTCAGAGAATCTTCACAACTGTCTGTCTACCAGAAAATGACCTCAAAACAAAAAGTCTACAACTGTTCTGTTCTCATAAAAGTCAAAAACCATTTTTTGTAGGGACATCTTTAAAAAATGCATATAAGTTTCCCACCTTGGTGCACTTCATTATGAACTGGCAATATACAGTTTTTAATTTTTGCTGTAAGTAAAATATTCTTAATAACACTACTTTGTTATTCCCATGACCAACATTTTTACCAAAAATAAAATAATAATAAAACTTTGACATGATACCTTTAATCCTCATTTGAAATGTATAATATAAAGCCTGCCTTTTTTATTATAGAGACCACGTAAATTAGACATACCGGCAAAAATTGTTCTCATGATATACACTTTCATTATTTTCTGACTGTTGCAATAAATAAAAATTTCTTGAAACAAACAACAACATAGATTTTCAACTTCTACTGCAATTCTAATGTGTGTATTCTGATATTTAACAAGATGGGAAAACAGTCCCTTAAAATAATACTACAAAGGTACACAAAATAGAAAATAACACAATAAACCACGAAAAATAACACCATCTTAGACAAAATATTTACATCACAATACTTTGGAACAACAAGCAAGATTTTGTTATATTTCAGAAGCATATGCTTTTATTTCTCATTAAAAAAAAGAGAGAGAGAAGAGTAAAAAACATCAAATAAGTGATATTTAATTAATCAAGAAATTTTTAAATCAAACGCAATGGAGATAGCCATCCACAAAATGTCAAAAAGCTACATGTGAAGGCAGATATTTCAAAATTAGATTAAAATAACCTTTCAAAATTAATTTAAAAACTGCTTAATATGCCAGTTTCTAGCACATGATGCATTTTATAATTCTGCCCCCCCACAGTAGATATGAAAAAGTTAAAATACATTATAGTAAAACATATTATAGGATCAAATATAATATGAATTATTTGCAACATAGTTCTAATATAAATATATTAACACTTTATTAGATGCTCTAAATTTTATGTTATTTGGCTAAATTCATTTTGTAATTTTTATACACTTTAATACTGAGAAAATCCTAAGCAGAGAAGAGAAGCTTTTACTTACAAGTACTTTTAAAACATTTTGTGCATTACCTTTATTTATTAAATGTCGTGTTCTTCACACTTAAATCTTATCATTCAATTCAACAGCAATATAACAAAATATTTAAAAACAGCATATCTTTAAATTTCCAATACACAGTCTTGGTCGCTGGAGATAAAAATGTTTTTTTCTGCCACACAGGGTTGTCATTGCCCACTCCAAAATCACCGAGCTCATTAATAAAAAATTCCTTAAGTTTTACAAAATTTAAAGGCTCTATGTACCGTTGTTTTTTCACAATGCATTCATGCAGATTCTTCATTATTTAGTTTCTTTAGCCCTTTGACTACTAACGGAAATGTCTGTCAAACTAAAAGTTAAAAAATTACTGCTGGGTTAAAAAGTACTTAGAATCTCCTGAATGTTAGGGAAGATCTTCCAATAGCTGGAAAATCAAGATGCCTGTATATTTTTTGTACACAAATAAACACAGAGAAAAGAACAAATATGAATTGCCCAACATGTAACTTTGGGTTGTTGATAGAATGCTTTACATTGTACCATACAATGTAAAATCTATTTAATATAATAAAGTTTTCCAGAATAATAGGTGAGCTTACAGTAAGTTGATCGCTATGTGTGGGACATATGTATCCCACCATTAACTACAGATGGGATATATGTGTCACAGCCTTTGGCTTGAAAAGTGTTTGTCAAAAAAAATGCCAAATATTAAATTTACCTTATTTATCATGTTCATTTGGAGAGAAAATGGGTTAATTTTTTTTTAATTCATAGTCAAAGGGTTAAATATAATACATGGTAATAATATTTGGTTCAACAGTTTGAAAAGTGAATTAATGCAGAAAGTGAAATGACACAAAATGCCGTTTTGAGACTAATAGCCCTTTGGGCTAAAATTTAAAAAATGTACATACTATTGTGGGGGTAGACTTAGTAATGAACTATATATTGGTGTAAAACAAAATTAAATTACAAAATTAACTAATTAAATCTTTATACAAAGTTTTACAAATGTCTACAGTAGATTAAGAGAATGCAGATCATATAAAATTTAAGAAGGAAAATTATGCTAAAATCACTAGGGATGAGGAATGCAATTTTCACAATTTAAGTTCCATTAATTCAGTAACTTTCATTTAATCCTGGGAAACATCTTCCTTGGTAAAGGCTAAAAAATTTAAAACGCGAGGTTCAGTGGTGAACCGGGATATATGATTAAAAACCAGGAGTGTTGGCAGCTTTGATATACATGAAGTGAACACAACATACACAGTACAAATTCCAAAATGCAGAGGTCAATTGTCTAATATTTAAACTTCCAGACTGCCAGTCAAAAAAATAAATAAATAAAATAATATCCCCCCTTGCAAAGTCTAGGAGGGGAGAATAACAAAAGTAGGCAGGCACATTGTAAACATCATGTTTTTCAAAACGGATTAATAACAATCATTCACTGATGTTGGCCAGGATCAAACTTTCGGCTCCTGAGTGATTGTGTGAAAGGCAAGACATCCAGCCCAGTAACACCTTAAATTAAAAAAATGTAGCCATCCTCTGAATTCTACTGTCTAGTGTCTCTCCTAAATTTTAAAAATCTTAAGTTTGGTTCTCCTCTAAATTCTTAAGTCTGCTGCCCCTAAATTCTGACATCCAGGTACAGCTAAAACAGTGACTACCCTGGCCTTATGGGAAGTGGGATTAGCATTTTTTTTATACATTGCATGCATATAGCTCACAATAAATTAAATGCACACAGAACTGATGATAGCTTGTTTAAATTTATTTCAAAAGGATCACTTCACAATTCTGGAACTTTCCACAAAAATAACTGTACAGCTCTTCAGAGAGTGCAATCAGTAGGTACATTTCAAACTACTGAGAGCATTACACACACACTGCAATGGAAAACGCATCTAAAGAGTGAAGCTAACATGGAGATATCTCAATACTCCAAACCATGCTGAATTAAGCAACAACAACTAAACTGATGCTCTCTCCGGTCTTTTACACTTTTCCCCCCTAGGCTGAGACATCGTCAGTACTTCTTTAAATTTCTAGAAGGCATATGAAGGCCGCATACAGTTACGGTTTCATAACATAAATTAATTACAGTTATTCAATTACAATTCAATTCAATACAGTTATTCAATTAAACAGAGACTGGGCCAAAATGTTTCAAGGTTTGGCAATCTTTGGTGATTTCCCACCAAATTTGTTGATAAAAATTAGTCGCCAAAACCATCATTATATAGCTCGCCAATTACTCGATATCTTGCCAATTACTCAATGTTAAATCGACTTGCCCCTGTATTCTTACTTTTCTGGAAGAGCATCATCTCTTTAGATTTTCATGTTACGTTATGGGGGAAAAAATCACTAAAACGATCTATATATGTACAAAATTTGTAACATATCTGACCTAAACAATAAGTATGATGAGTTCCAGTGTCACCATACCTACATAAAATCTTACTGGAATTAAACTGATTATCTAAAGTCCAGAGTGGTTGTAATCCTGATGATTCTGGATGTCACACTTAGCACTGTAGAAGAATACAACACATAGAAACATACCTGAAATGCGACTTTCTAAAAGCCATACAAAAGTTTTATTTTCTAATGTACCTTATGGTAATTTAAATACATTATTTTCAATTGTAAAATAATCTTTCTGTTGGAAAACTATTACAGCATCTTTTTGCATTGCTAGAAGATTGAAAATAATAAATAAAGTAAAAAGTCTTTAATCCGGACTCGTCGGGACTTCGGCGATCCCTGAAGATAAGGATAGTGCTGACAGATCAACTTCCAGTTCATTGCGTGCCGCGATGTCCCCCCTCCCCCCGCAGAGCAGCGTGAAATTGATAAACAGATTTCGGAATGGTTAGAGAAACAAAGGATATGCTTTATCGATTTTTTGCAGCAATTCCACTTTTTGTTTGATGGACATTGAAACATGCTTTCGCTTTGCAGATCCTTTGGCAGCTCCAGAATTGGAAACTCTTTTTGACATAATCGAAAGTTCAAACTTACCTTTTATAAAATTGCTCTAACAGTCTGCAAAAAATAAGCCGAATCAAATTAGAAGATTAAAGAACAATGCAATCTGCATTATTAACTGAAATAGATAATTAGATAATTTTAGCTTAGCTTATACCGTCCGTTATACATTAAACGCGCATGCATAAACGTATTATGTGCATACATTTACGCATGCGCAGAAAGTTTGTAGCTTTGAGGTCCGGATTATAGATCATTCCAGATTATGGACGTCCGGATTAAAGACTTTTGACAGTATAATAAAATATTTGGCCGTGAAAAACAGAAAATTGTCATTATCTGAAGAAACAAACTATGGTGTTTGTGAAACATTAACTACACCTACATATGCAGATCAGTAACCACATGTTTCAAGTTGACGCCAAAACACACTAATTCCTGTTTCTTGACAAGGTCATTATCACCAACAAGTATTAAATTATTCCTACAATTTCTATTTCACTTAACTCTTTTTCAAATTAAAACTTTTTTGAAATATCTTTTAATATATATTTGTACTTTTTTTTATATTTCTAGGCTACATTAAAAATAAATTTTTAAATGTTTATTTTACATAATTACTGTATTATTTCAAACTAGTACATATTCTGAAAATTTGATATAATTATTCTAAATTACTACAATTATTGAAAAAGTTTAATTATAATACATAATTTTAAACTAAGATTTTTCCAATATATTTAACTTTTAAAATTTAAAACAGAAGCATAGAATATCAGAACAAAGAATATTCAAAACATACCTTCAGTATGAACAATATACTGCCCTCCAGCAGTCAGAAAAGTGTCATTTAGAGTCCCAGCGCCATTATCTCCATTGTCCATTTTTTTGAGGTATTACAATTCAAATCTTGATGAAAATGCAGAACTCTGAAAATAAGATGGACACATCTTGTGATGGCAAATTAATTATTACATAAATTTCTACATCAGTGACATTAATAAAAAAAAACTTGAAGACTTTTTATTCATTTGGAACAAATTAACATAGAGATAAAAAGTCTAAAGGGCAATATCAGGTACATGCCTAATTTGACAATTCCAATGTTATACAACTTAAGTACAGGCAATATCAGGTACATGCCTAATTTGACAATTTCAATGTATAACAACTTAATCGCAGTTACTAGATAATAATCTAGTAACTGCGATTGCACTCAATGCACAATGCCAAGTTTGTGCAAGTTTCTTCAATTTTTTTTAGAATGAAAACAGACCGTTTTGTATACACGGAGACAACAGGAATGCAACACTCAAGTTTAATGTATCATATAATCTTTATTTAATAATTAAAACTTTTATTTTAAATTGCTAAAATGTGTTTTCGGCTCTACTCTTATATGCACCCTAATTTCACCAAATGTGGCGATATGTGTTCTGCGCTGGTTTTTGGCACGATTGCGTGTTGTATGGCAACTCTGTTGACGTTGAAAAATATTTTCCTGGAGTGGTTTAATTGCTCATTGGTTCATGTCGTGCGTGTTTTGAAATGGCCTATGTTGCAATGATAAACGTGATGGAATGATTTCTGTCGAATATTTTAGATTGTGTGGAAAGAAAATTTAGTATTAAAAGGTACGATGTTGGAGTTGTTAACGAATCTTTTGTTCACGGGTGTGTTTATGAGGAGTGAAGTGTATTTTTGGAATTTCTGAGTGACTTTTAAAACAGAGTGCAAAATGCGGAGCTGCTATGAGAACTCGGACGAAGAAGGGCGTTTCTGATTGTTCTTGTGTGCAGTCAAATGGTTCAGCAGAGTTTAAGATTTGCATTGTGGTTTTGGTGTAGTAAGTTAGCTTCGGAGGAAGTTTTTATCGTTACTTTTGAAATTTTGAATCTCAGAAAGGCATGTGATATAGCAAAATCATCGCACTTTTGTTCAGAGACGTTGTGCGACTGGCGAAATTTTAATCAGGAATGTGTTGTTGTAAGTGCATTTTACTGTTTTTATTTTGTAGAATGTTACGTTCATTGTTTTTTTACTATGAATTTTTGTTGTTGTTTTGTGAACTGTTTGTAATTTAGTTTAGTTTACTTGGTTGATTTGTGCGCAATGCCTAGCTTGTGCAATTTGTAGATGTTTTTTTAAGTTTAAACAGGATGCTGTGTACATGGTTTTCCTTGAAATTTATTGTTGTTATGTTAGTTTATTAAAGTGAGGTGTGCATAGTTCGTAGCCTAGATCATGCAATTCATAGATTTTTTTTAAGTTAAAATATATCACTGAGTACATGGATTTTTGTCAAATATTTTTGGTTAGAAACTTTATGTTTTTGCTATCTAAATTTTTGTTTTTATTTCAGATTTTTAGCTTAAATTGTGTGTTCAAAACGTTGTTTTTGCATATGCGAAAACTGCATTTTTGGAGACATTTCAAGCTTAAAGTTCGAAATGTAGACAAAAATTTTAGATAGTAATATGGCAGCATGGAGTTTCAAGCCAAAAATGTTTGGCAAGAAATTTGGCGACCTGAGGGCGCATATAAAAGTAGTTCCATGTTTTCTTTTGATATGTTGATAAATCTGCCAATAAATATTGATAGCTCGGCAATCTTTAAAAAAGTCGCAAAAATTGCTAATTTGCATTCCATAATTAACTTTTACAGATAAAAATGACCACTAGTAAATTTTATTTGAAACAGGCAATTCCCTTTTTCCTGGTGATTCAATTTTAAATGACTTAAGCAGGACAAAAACAACTAAATAGTATATTAAAAATATAAAACATTAAAAATCAACTTTCTGCACATAAATGCAGCCATGAAAGTAAGTGAAGCAGTTAAACTACATTGTGACCATAGCTACTGTTAGCAACTATAACTGGTTGTATGCATTCAATTTGGTAATGGGCATTCAATATAAGATGAATCAGCCTTTTGAAATGAATCAGCCAGGTATCTAAGTCCCATAGCTTCAAAGTACTTCTCTTCACCACCCAAGGCTTACATTAGAGAATAATCCTCAGCCTTGATTCTCCTTTTATTTTTATTAGTAAATAATACTAAACAATAATGGCTGAATAATAACTATACAACAGCATTATATAAACTGCAAACTGCCTTCAAATTCCAGTGAATTAGTCGGAACAAAACTTGTTTTAGTCTGTCTAGTCAATCAACTTTGTTTGAAGCTTCAAAACACTTTTCCCTTGACAAGTTCTGTTTGAAGCTCTGGAACAAAAGAAATTAACACATGCTTTTGATACTTCTAGGTTACCATTTTATGTACATAGCATTTTCAGTTCTAAAATGTATTGTTCATATTTTATTTAGCATTTTCAGTTCTAAAATTTATTGTTCACAATTTATTTATTATTAAAAAATTTTCTTTAGCCATGTATTTCAGAAACAGAAATAGGTAACGTCCAAATATTCTTACAGCTTTGTTAGGTTTTTTTTTATCTCGATTTTTAAATTCATTTAAAAATTAAGCAGCGCTAGGGGCTAACTTTGAACTTGCTAGTTCTTTCGTAATTTTTATAAATTGAACTTGGACTACATTCTAATTTCTTACATAAATTTAATACAGAATATGCAGTTCCTTCTGTGATGAATCATACACCAAAAAGGAATATACAGTTACACATTTTGGAATGATTTGTGTAATACTAACATTATTTCCTCATATATATATATATATATATATAATGCAATTATTCTGTATCTAGTTCATGTAATAAAAAAATTAATCTTCTAAGTAATTTAACAAGCAATCACTAAATTCGGCTTTTTTTTTTTTTTTTTTTCCTTAAACTTTAAATAACACCAATACTAGTTCAGAAACAGCTAAGATTTCACATCACATTTACTGCAATTAATTGCTTTATTCATACACTATATTAGTACTTTTATTGTAAGTCAAACATAGTTCTATTTATTCAGTTTAAAATGAACGAAGTTCAATTAAATTTTCAGCACTAAATTTCTAAAAGATCCAAACAAAACTTTTGATAGTAATAGACCTTAGTTAACACATTCAGATTCCTAAAGTATGTGTGTGTGTGTATTAACTTAAAGCATCTAAAGTTAAAAGTAAATTGGAGTTAAAGCAAGGCAATTCATGGTTAGGTTAAGTTACTAAAAATTATTGACAAAAATCTGAAAATGGTATATTGTACATAATAATAATAATAATAATATATTACACTTCTTTAATATCCATATTTTGTATATTCACAGTTAAAAATCCTAAAAATCAAATGTTTTTATTGTTCACTACAATACTACTAATGTAATACATAATTTTAAGTAGCTTATTAACATTCAGTTAATTAATTACATTATAGTCACCAAGCTAATTTAACCTTTAACCTTCTTAATGCTTCACTTTCATTTGGGAATGCTATTATTACAGTCATTTTGTCAAGCTGTCTATTTGAAATGAAAAAATGATAGACTACTTTTATGATTTTCTTCAACAACTATAAGTTTCGGAAAATATTTAAAAAATTAATTTACCGATTCAATTGAACACAAAAGAAAAAATTATGTACGGGAAAACATATTGCTCTGAAAAACAACCAAAGACGAAACAAACCATTAAATATATTTCAAAACATCCCTAAATGTGCGTAAAAAAAGTTCCATTTTATTTTTTAACATGCCGATTAATAAACAAGTTTTTATTTTAAATGGCTGATATACATAGTTATGCACTTTCCTCGTATAAACAAACAAGGACAGTTCCTGAATGTATTACAAAATAAGGGACTACGTTAGCAGCTGACTAGTTTTACATAAAGTAATCGGAATACTCCAATACTGACGTCTATAACACGTTGCTTACGTCCACTAGCCTTTCCAAAAGCTGAAAAAAGGAAACGTCCAACAACAGATATCAAAAGAAAACTTTGAAGTACTATACTCTGGTCACAAGAATATACTTTGGTCACAATGAAAGAAAGATGTAAAATAAACAGTACTTACGAAATGATGCAGAATTTAATACCAATAGTGATTAAAATAACGAAAAATAGAAAAAGACACAAACACTACTTTGCTCTCAACAACAGAATTTTAGATTGGTGCACCTCTACATGCAGTCTTATATTCTTGCGGTTAGTTAATGATATCCAGTGCTTGTGCAAGGGCTAAGTACGGTTAGGTAGCATACGAATGTTATCAGAATGTTCGAGATCAAGCCTCTGGATGGCGATTCCATCAGCTCTCGTCAAAGTCGTAGCTAGGGTTTTCAGCGCACAGGGACAACTAAAGATTTCGTGCCCCCTACTGCTTTCCAAGGATGGAAAACATTTAATTCTAAAATGTCGTAACATCAGTTTGGCGTCCCTTGGATTCTGCGCCCGGACACAGATGCCCCCCTTGCCCCCCTCTAGCTACGCCCCTGGCTCTCTCAGAAAAAGATTACGCACTCTCCATTACAAAATTTAATAAATATATTACGAAGTAAGTGACGATTGTGGCCTACCGGAAAGAAGGCCATTAGGTGAGGTTCTAAGTGGGGTACAGAATTAAACTTTTTTATTTTTGGATATATGCAGATATTTTAAGAGCTTTACAATGAGCTTGAGCATCGTAGACTAACAAAATCTAAAAGAGGTAAACATACGTAAAAATGCTGGGCTGGATTAAGATCTTTAGAGGTCCTAAGCATATAAAAGATTTTGGCGCCTCTACATACATTTGCGCCAGTTTTTCCTTCATTCCTTCCCTTTCTGAAGTCATGCACAGTTTTGCACAAGAGTTGAGACAACTTGACAACAGAAGAGATGAAGACCTGATACGACTCGAGAGCTACAGGACATTGATTCAACGAAGGTGACAAAGTGTGGTTATGGAAGACGGAAAGGACTCTGTCCTGAACTGAAATCCCCTTGGGACTGTCTTAACACAGTCCTAAACAGACTGAACGACGTAATCGTTCAGCCTGTTTTCATCGTAGTTCCGCTCCACAAGTCATCAAATTCTAAGCCTAACGTAGCTCATTACGACAGACCAACCCCTTACTATAGTCATAGTACATAATCCGCATAGTGTATATAATGTAAATATTATACTAAACCCATAGTAATTTGTGTATAAATTTGTAAATTTATGCCTTTGTTTGTTGGTTTAGCATTTGATTTGTTTTACGTCATTTACTGGAATTATTGCTTAAGTATTGCATTGATTTGCTTTATTTGCATGTATGCTTGACTGCCTTTATTTGCTTGTACTGCCTGGGACATGCAATCCTTGGGAAGGGGACAATGTTACAAATTTTGCCCATATACGGATAATTTTAGTGAAATTACATGTGGAATTGTATTTTTCTGTATAACGTAAAAATCTCGAGGGAGAATGCTCTGCCGCAAAAAATAAGAGCACAGAGCAAGTCCATTCAACGCTGTGTAAATGGCTATCTCGCAAATTGGTGAGATATCGTTAAGCTTTTTGTTGCGTATTTTAGATGAGCTTTGCCTGCGTTGTGTTAACGTTCTTATAGCTAGAAGTGTATCTACTGATTGTACTCTGCGATACTGGGAACACCTGTACGAGTATTTCTGTAAAAACTTCCAGAACTCTAAAGTTTTTTTTAAATAAATTTTTTCAACCTATATGCACGCAACAATAAATTTTAAGTAACAGTATTTTTTACACGTTCCGACGAGTACTCATATAGGTCAAAATGTATTCGGGTGTATGTAAGGTGCATGTAGGTATTGTATGTAAGGTGACATTTTTAGATATAATATTCTTCCACAAGTAATATACAGATGTTATAAGCTAAAAATGAAATGAAGCTTTTTTTTTTTTTTTTTTTTTTTTTTTCAATAAACTGCTGAAAAACATTTCTAGCATCGGAGATGATAAACAGAAAACATATCAACTTAACAGTCGAAATATTGACCAGGAGTATTAAGTTTAGTGTGCCAAACGCTTTCCGTAAAATCCTGAATAGCAATATTGAAAAATTTCCTTTTAATAATATCTGGGAAGCGTTTTTCCAAACTCTACCCCACTTTTTGAAATTTTTCGTCACGGAAATATCAACTAAATTTAAAATAGAAGTCGGCATACCCATTGCCTCCTAAATATATATTTAGGAGGCAAATGGCATACCCCACTTAAACATTACAGCGTGCTTTCGAATGTATCACAGTGTGTAACAGCTGATTTTGTGTTCTTGTTTACGGAGATTTTTCTTAATTTCTTATGACTGGAAATTTACGCGAAATCTTGAATGAATGGATATTGTTTATCTGCTTGCCTAAATTCAGAAATTAAAATTTATTTATAAAAAAATACAAATAACCTCATAATTATCGAAATACTTCATTGTTTCGATGAAACATTAAAATGTAATAAATTACTGGACATCATGACATTAAATGTCTTTGTAACTGTGCTAATACGTTCTGTTACGTAGAAGCTGCTCAACTTATTTATTTAACATAATATTGTCTCATTTATTAAGCATAATTATCAGACTTCTTACTTCTTTAATGCCTTAAGAATATTAATAAACGCTTGTGCAATATTTGCATCCTCGTTGTCATGAAGGAAGGAAAAAATAGCCCATATGATCTCCACATAAGCATTTTATTGATTTGTAATTTTTGTGTTTAGCAGTACTAAAATTGCATTTAATGGATATGTGTATGCTTTTTTTGATGACGGTAACATAAATATGTTTAAAAGTACAGGAAAAGCTCAGAAAATGTTGGATAGATGAGCTTGTAAAAAATTTAATTTATGATAGAAAAGTCAAAGAAATGAAAAAAGAAATTTCTGGTCTAAAATTGTAAGATCAGTCATATTATCAGCTTGAATATCGGAAGCCTCTATTTAATATTATGTTCAGTTTTGAAGTTTTGATCTTCGGAATATATACTAGGTGATTTGGATAATGACATTTTTATGACGATAAAGATTGCTAATTAATGGTGTGAAAATGATCGGCAGCATTCTAAAAGTTTCGAGGTGATAATTTGACATATACATATAACAAACTTTACCGAATATAGTTTTGTGTCTGAAGATATATATTTGCAACCACCTTTTGATAATTTAATAAAATGTGTTTTATAATTTAATTTACACTGAACCATTTTCATCTTTACATTATGAATATCTTGGATTTTTTTAACGAAGATTCTATAGTTGCAAATTTAGAGATCAAACAAGAACTTATTATTCTATATTTAAATTTCTTTCAAAGTTCATTATTTATTTTATATGTACACATATATTTTATACATGAAAAGATATATATGCATAATAAATAAAGATAAATATGTATAGAATCTATATTTTTATGGAGAATTTGTTGAGAATTCTCCTAATTTATACTAAAGCTTGCTGAAATGTATACTATATGTATAGAAAAATTTATACTGGAAAAACAAATTGCTGTGCCTATTTGTTCTGCTATTTCGGTGGGTCCACCAGCGGCTGAGCAGTTAAGTCACTGAACACTAATAATTCACCCTGATTTCGATTCCAGATAAACGGATTGATTGCATGGGCGTTTCCATGATTTTACATGTATAATATTGGAAGAAATAATTTTCTCTTAGAAAATCTTACATCTTAATTTCAATCTGCTTTTAGCTTTTGAATATTAAAGAATGTAAACAGGAAAGAATAAAAAATATTGAAATATAGCTTACACTTTAATAAAAGGAAAACACTAAAAGCTTTCAGATTTTATATTAAGCGCAAAGGAGGTTCTTTTCCCCCCCCCCTCATTGATACACACATACACGTTTCCAGAACATTTGAGCTAATGTTATTTAGGGCTAAAAATATTTAAAAACAGCATAGCCTTAGAATTTCCGACAGACAATCCCGCACGCTGGAGATAATTTTTTTTCATACAGTGTTGCCACTGCTCGTTTTGAGATCTTTGACTTTGTTAATCAAAAATTCGTTAACGTTTTACAAAATAGGAAATAGGAAATAAGACAGATTCTAAATTCTAGCTTCCAGGTGCCCATATTCTAGTGAAAGACTACGTTATTCAGAACTGGATGGCTTTAGGTACCGTTGTTTTTTCACAGTTTGAGAAACATACATATATTCATGCAGATTCTTCATTATTTAATTTCTTTAAATATAATGCAGGGCAATAATATTTGGTAGCAACAATTTTAAAAGTTAGAGATTAATAGCCGTTCTGGACTAACGCCCCTTTGGGCTAATGATGCACGTCCATTACCGAGCGCAAATGATTTATGGGATCACATCTACAAATATGTCAGAGAGAACTTAATAAATTTAATAATCCTAAAAACAGTCTCATACATCTGGAAAGGCATGGATAAAGACTGGAAATAAACTGGATCATACTAGAAAAGCATAACTAAAGATGCACCTAACATTAACAAAACAATAGTATAATAGTAATTAAAATATTATTAATGATTACATTTATTCATTCAACTCACAGAATATCTTATAATTTCTCCCCCTTCACTCTCAACGTTAATCAAAACGTAGAAAGAACTATTTTATCATTCGTCGCTCTCTTTTGTTTGTCTTAATGCGAATCCTGTTATTTCTTTTGGATATTTTGTATTACATTTCCTAAACGTTTCGTTTATACATGTTTTCCTGAATATTTAATTAATTTATTTATTATTAAATGTAAATGTTGGAGATTTAAGTTATGTTTAGACGTAGCTTATTTACTTACTTTTTGTGCATTCGAAAGAGAAAATTTTGGAAGCGCAGGACACATATTCACATTGGTCATGTTACGAAACACTGTGAAAAAACACAGGATTGGTTTGCCGTGTTTTAATTGCAGCAATACTGCGATATTGCAGTGGTTATACTGGATTTCTGTTATATTTGTAACTTTTCCCAGTAAACGTAAGAGGCCTCTAAGTACAGCATTGAGATTGTAGTGTTACATAGCGATGTTTAACGAGAGAACTTAAAATAAGAGGCGAAAAAAAATTAGACAGTTTGTTTTCTTAGAAACCGGAGATCCGATGCAAATCTAGAAATGAGATGGCTAGACTGAAGTCAAAGTTCTGGCGAGGAGTGAACAACCAGAGAAATGTAGCATACTGATGTTGAAGTATTACACCAGCATTAACACCAGAAATTATAAGATGTATAATG